CCTTGAGAGGGTTTGGATACTTATGCAAGCAACTGTCTAACTGTGTTTATAACCATGGTAACATTTGATAATTTGCATTGTATAAGAGGCCTGATGGTTCTATAATTCCTTATAAAACTAAATTTGTAAAAGACAAATTTAGCCGTATGTGATATGGATGTGGATAACTTTTCATGTTTTGTTTTACTGCATCGTGGCTTTTTTGACATTAGGTTTTAGTTCTTTCACCTATATTTAAAATTCTGTTTCCACCTTCATTGCACGCATTGATACAATCAACATACCTTTTGTGTGTGTTACTATTTGCGTTCCATAAATATTATCCCCATTTCATTATCTCTTGCGCTTGCTGTTATACCAAACTTTCCCAGTTACAACACTGCTGCCGCCCAATCAAATATTTTAAAGTTGTGAAATACAAAGATTCTTTTGGAATGAAGATAAAAAAATAAATAAATAAAATAAATGCAGCCTTTCTGTGCCACACTTGTCAAATTTTAAAGTTGGTGTGGATGGAAAAATATCAGTTTGTGTTTCCATCTCCCTGTTTGAATTAGGCTACAAACTTCTGAACATCATTGTTCAGATAAGCTGAAATTATATACATTTTAATTAATTAAGTGGGGATTGAATTTTTCAGTATGAAATGCTGCTCTGCACAGCAAACTCGTGCCCTATTTTAGTAACGCATTAAATATTATGTGGCACTTTTATGCAGCACGTGACCCGATATCTTGATGAACCTTTTTGTGTTATGCTCCCATTTCAGGACTCTGGCTTAAAACTGTAACGTACCTTATATCAGGCCTGTACTCACTTGCAATTACCTCTTCTTCCTCTTCTACATATCTTTGCCTTTGGCTTGTATTTTTTATTTTTTTATTGTTTTGGTCAGCTTGCTTTGACTCACTCTTCATCATGACTGAAAAGTATATAAAAATGAAATGGAGTATATTTTTAATTATTAAAGAAACTGATGAGAACTACGGTCTCGGCATCATATGTTCCCTGCTAACATGACGCAATCGTGTAGGCAAGGAAGTACCTGTTTTAACGCTGAGTGTGCATGAGGATCAAGCTGACAGAGTCCAGATATGGGCCTTGACATTAAACAGGATGCCCTGGCAAAGGTTCTGCGGAATGACCAAGAGCAGTGTAATGGTTTGCTTTTGGAAATATCGGGCTTAAGCTGTACAGGGTACAACTTGTTTTCCCCCCTAATCCTGTCACACTGGAAGACCAGGAGGGTGAAAGTCGAAAACAGTTGGGTGAGTTAACACCAGGTCCTGGCCCTCGTTCGACCTGGCAAGCTGTACTGCTGTGTCCAAAGTAGCCTACACAAAACAGTGAGTGGGCACTTTCCCGGGAGGATGGGCGTTGGCAGAGAACTGGCAAGCAGCTTTTAGGCTCCTGTTGACAGAGGGGTCACTGACCCCACCCTGATCCAAGAATATGAGCTGGGCCTCCTGCATCTCAAACAGAGGAACAGATAATGGGGCAGAAATTATATCTGTGTTCAAGATGGCAAAAAAATAGCAATTCCCAAACAAAAGCCGTCACTTGTTCTTCCTCATTCAGTTTTTGCTATTTGCCCTCGTTCAGGTAATTGCCTGTGGTTAATTGCCTGGCGTTTAAATTTTAAACTTTGTCCACACAGCTGGAGTCATTTTTCAGCACGTCACATAGGCCTATCAAACTGAAAGTGAACGTGCTTACCGTAACAATGTTCAGTGCAAGCTCTTCGTTTAATTTGCCATTCTGCTTAGTGGGTTCTGTGAATTACAATATTATCAAGAATTGTAAATGTTTGGTAAAATCACTTTTTAATTCTTTGCACCATTCACATAGTTTTATTGCAATGTTATTTTAATTAGTTAGTCAGTGTCTCCTTTAAATCCAAAGGGAATTGTATTGCAATGATTTTTCTGTCCCGATAGAATACCTTAATCATGACAATGTTAATACCCTTTGTTTTCAGTCCTTGCTTTTTCATAAATACATAGTGCTGGTGAATGATAAAGGCTAGTCTAGATAAGGTAAATTACTATGAAGTCCTGGTAGATCCACACAACATGAAATATCTTACTAAAACTACATAAGTGCTATAAAAAAAGAGTGCAGGTTTTCAATTCTTTCTGTGGTTGTGGTCAAGTGATAAAGTAGAGCAGATTAAAACTCTGTGTTGATCCGTTTTATTGATTGTCCTGATTGTTCCATACTAACATTAATGTCTTTCGAATATTTCGCTTCTGGCTTAGTATCTATCAAATTAATTTATGCAAATGTAAGTCTTTGCCATTTTTGTGAATGTTGTGGGAATTAGAGCATATTGAGTAGCCCCATTCACTAAGAATGTGCACTCTGGAACATTGTACCTTGAATGGCTGTTAAGAGATTAAATGCCTTCATTGTAAGGATGTAAACATCTGGAAGAGCCATTAGGTCTACAGCTGCCTTTAGCAACTTGATTTAGCTGATGACGAATGAGCCATTTGTCCAAGAATTCATAAATCCCTGTAAATATTTAGCCTAGCAGCAATTTTGTCAGAGAAATAAGAGCAAACCTTACTGTCCTAACATAATTCCATTAGAAAATGATGATGTGCGTATGTGTCATTTGGTGTGTCTCGAGAAAGGAGCCAAAAATCAAGTCTGCAACCTTTTTTTAAGTATCTTGCCATGTTTTTATTGAAGTCTTTGCACAGATTTGTCTAAAGAAATAATTCTAAAATGAGTTTGTTAAAGCTTGCTGCTGTAATTAATCTCAAAATATAACCTGTCAGGTTGTCACTTGAATTACTGAGGTCATGAGCAAACACCTATGTGAGAAAGCGTCATCAGCTGTAGGTTAGATCACTGGTAAGAAGAGCTCAGGGCTCAGTACAGGGTGGAATATGCTACAAAGTTGCCCTCATGATCAGCTGGGTCGCAGGTGCCCTGTGAACAGCTGCAATCCCCCACTTGGCTCTGAACCTGTTTTTCAGGAAACCTCTTAGCGCATTGCCAAAGTTTGCTACAGAAACAAACGCAAGTCTTTTGTAGTTGTCTTTCATTTACTTACTACTTTTTCATCAGATTGTCTTAAATGTCTGGAAATGTCACATTAATTATCTGGACCTGAAGATGTCATGGGAGAAAGTTATTTCCCCAGAAGCTTTGAGAGTCTGATGGCCTGAACAAAATCCATGGGTGTGTTTGTAGAAAGATGTTGACACTGTAGGACTGGGAATAAAAGACGGGTCATTACTGTACCTGTCCTCTTCACAGCTACTTAGTTTTGTTGGTGTTCATGAAACTGCCACAGAAACGCAATACAATAGGGGCATTTAAATGAACTTTTGATTCATATAATTCCAACACTCTTTACAAATGACCAATAGCAAGTGGACTAAAGGAAGGGTGAAATAAAACGATGGATTTAGAAATGGACCTCTCATAAACCACTGCACCAGTCGCCCTGCGAGTTCTCTGTTTTCTCTCGAGAGCCTGGTGAGTGACAGACTATTGGGGGAATATTAGTGCTGTGGCTAATGAATATGACACTTGAAAAATCTGTCTTGACTCCTCATTTTCAGCATGTGTCGTTTCTTTTAATCACAGGAATTAATTTATGTAATCAACAAATTATGATTCTCCAAGATCTATGGGAGACAAATAAAAGAATAACCGTTATTATTTGAGAGATGAGCTGCAAATGTGAGTATTAGACCATTGTCTAGCCAAAACAATTCTTCAATGAAAACTAGTTTTCAATAATACCATTTGAAAACTGCCGACTTCTGAGCTTTTAAACTCCTGTTGCATCTAATGTTAACGGGGTCAGTGTGCAGTCCTGTTTCCCGGGGTATTGATTACACATGTCCTGTTGAAATATGGTGTGTTGGCTTCATTGGAGGATGGGGGACGGTTGTATATCATAGAATCAAGGAAAATCTCTTAATCTTTTAAGAGCAAGCAATTAAAATTGATCTGCAGATACTGTTTGGTCCTCCATGGATAAAGCTCTCCCCTGCCTGTCAGGAGTGTATTGAGCATTACCTTACTTAGCCCCTTAGAAAAGCCCCCCAGTTTCCTCATTGATTCGAGTCCTTCATCACACAGGGAGACGCACAGCTCTGGTGACTTTAAGTGCTTATTTTTTCTGGAGTACCATCCCAGCAGGATCTCGTTCTGCTCAGTCTGCGTCGTGGCAGTCTGCTAAATGACTACAGATTTCAGGGTCTGGGGGGGGGGGGGAGGCTTCCCTGTGACTCATCCGCTCCCCACCCCCAGCTGGCCCATGTTGGTGTATGACCGGCACGCCCCCAATCCCCTTTCCCTTGTTTACAGCAGCACACTGAGAATGGGTCAGAGTGGCGGAAGTAGGATCTCACTGCGCTCGACTGTCTATCCGAGCTCACTCACTCACACACACACACCCCCATGTCTGTCCATCCTCCTTCATCCCACGCTTTAACGTTATTGTTCTGTCAGCGCAGTGGTTTTCATCCTTAGCGAAGCTTCCGGTTCTGTGTTTCAGAATGTGGAACTGGAAGTGCTGTTCTGAATGATCTGTTGACTGTTGTTGCTGGAAATATTCAACTGAATCAGTGAAAGTGGCAGAAATTGAATTTGTTGAGCTGAAATAGTCTTGGTTTGTCAATAACAATTTGTATTTAAAACATTTCCTTAAACTTGCCTTTTTTCATCTTTTTCTCCATTTGTTTTTTTGCTTTATTCACAGTCATGTCTAGGCTTAAACAGGTTTTGTTTGAATCAATACTGCTTCAGTCTATCACATGTTATGGTTATTGTCTGCGTCTCTTCCTTGGAATTTGTCACTAGTTCTATGCTACTGTCCAGTGTATTGATGTACAGTATTTCCTGGCCATTTGAAGGTCAGAATTTGGGCAGAGAGCCAAATGTGTGCCTTATCCCCTTTTTGAGAAATGCACTCATTTGAGCTGGAGCTCAGATTTATCTGTAAGACGTTAACAAAGCACCCTCCTGCTTCGTTTCAGGTGAAATGGTCAGATTCTTCGTCGAGTAGTGTGATGAAGACGCACCATGATCTGGAGGAATTTTTGTTGAAGGTAGGTTTCAAAAGTTTTGGCTGAGGACCCACAAACCACGTGTAAAGGGTGTGTATCTTACTGTGGTGTCTTAAATGCAGTTGGTAGCTGTGTACTTGTACATTTAATATGAATTTAAATTTTCTACCAGTTTTTTTTTAAGCAAATCATTTATACTATATCCTGATGTTTTTGTCTTTCGTGCAGCTTCCAAAGGAATTTGCCACAGAGTCCTTCGAGAAGAGTATTGTGCGATTACTCAGCCAGGGAGACAAGTATGAGAGCAGGGAACTGGAGCGAACACTAAAGTGAGCATTCACGTACACCCCATCGCCACTCCGCCTTCGGAACATATTGCTTGGATTTAATTATTTGCTTGTACTTTTAGGAATAGAAAGAACCCTGCTGTTTTAGGGGCCAGAAGGGGAATCCCTCTCATTAGTCACTTTGTACGTGGTTCCCTGAGCATTTTGTTAATGCGTTTTAATCATGCATGTGGTTTGCCCTACCATTTAAAGGAAAATGGCGCCCCCTGCTGTGGGCCTGATTTATTTTTTTTTTCTTTAAAAGTCCTGCTGACCTGCACTTTCAGCGTAGCAAGCAGCCCTGTCTGGGCCACAGTTGAACAATAAGGACACCGCTGATGTCTGCTTTGTCATCTGCTTCAGGAAGCTGTTGTGCAGCCTGATCTATGTGCAAAGTCCCCGCGATCTTTGTCACTGCGATGTGCCCCTCCCTCCACCCTATTTTTGCATTTTAAATTGGCTCCAGTTTTAGTTTTGGGGGCGCGGGAAGCTATACTGGATAAGTGTTTAAGGAAAATGGAGGGGGAGGAGATGAGGATATCGAAATGCTAATCAAATGCAAAGCATTTCATCATACCTTCCTTCCTGTTTCTTTTTTTATGTGGATGTCAGTTCATCCCCTGTCCTCAGTATTGTTGATAAGGCCGCATTTTCATGCAGAGACTGCATGCTGTTTTTCTTCCCTTGAACAGTAAAGAGATGTGCTCAGCTTTTCTGACTGGCTGCGAAGGAACAGCTCGCTTAGAACACAACAGCAATCCAGAAAAGCCTATATTATTTAGGTCGGCAACTTTGAAGTCTTTACCTTTAGGATAACATTTTCTCTTCTTTTTTAAAATGTGAGAATTCTGTCCATTTTACCAGTGCCCCCTCCCCACCCCCATTGGAAATCTCCTGAATGATAGTTACTGAGACATCAGTCATGCCACAGATGTTGCATTTAACAGTGAGCAGAAAGTTTTGTTCCTGATTTTATAATCCCCCCCCCCCCCCCCTGACAGGGAGAAGTTCCTATCCGCGCCGCCAGCTTTCCGGCAGTCCGGGACGGTCTGCAGCTTCTTCTTGTCGGATTCCTCTGGGTCCAGCTGCAGCCGCTGTAAGTCAGGTGCTGTGAGAGCTGTGACTGGCTCTGTTCTCAGGGCCAGCCCAAGGCATGAGCAAACCTGGCAGCTGCTTAGGGCACAGCAGCCACCAGGGGGCCCCCTTATTGGATCAGATCACAATGGGACGGAACAGTCACAATGGGACGGAAGATGACAAACGACAACTAGGTTAATCGAATCCTGCTTACGGCCCCGTCTGTTCTATTCAGTTGTTTGTAGCCTTGTGTTGTGGTGCTATAAGCTTGCGGAACAGCAGCGTGACTTTTGGTAAGTGTGGTGTGCATATCATTCCCTAGACCTGGGTCAGAGTGATCTGACACTCACAGATTATACTGAACTGTCTCTGGGCTCTCTGACCTATGGTCCAAGGCAAGGGTCTGCCGTGATGTGTCTGTGTTTACATGCCAGTGAGTGTCAGCCCAAAATCAGGCAGCTGTTCCATAATTTATTTTTGTTATTTTTATATCATGTTACGTGAGTGGTTGTTTTATGTAACCCCATATTTCTATATGCTCTGCATGTGACCCCAAGTGAGTATCCAAACTGCATTTTGGCTGTGTCACTTTCAAAGGTAACAGCTGAGATTCAGTAAATAAATTCCCACTTTTAAAGGTAATGCTTTTATTAGTTATTTTCTGCTTGCTTTAAGTACAGTAAGCAATGGAAATATTCTATAGATGTTTTCCTCATGAATTTCAAATGATGGTGTTCCCCTAGTGGTGGGACTGTGTACTGTAATGGCAGAATATGGTTGTGTTGTCTTGTACCTTCTGAATTGAAACATTATTGCTTATCTTCTAAATTTTGTCGGTCAGATATATGATTGAGTGAGAGACACTTGGCTCCTTTGAGGTCCTCTGAGCCATAATAACCTGCGGAAAATCTGTCAGCTGAAGTCTGCATCCCGTCTTTATGGTTAGCAACACAGTGTTTTTACGGATGTTACAGTAACTGTTGCTGGAGATGGAGCGGGACCATTTGGGAAGCATGCATTCATTCTGGTTATGAATGAGTTTGTATAGAGCCTGGTCACATTTCTTATTTCTCTTTTCGTCTCTTCATGCTTATAAAATCTGCAGTAAAGACAAAACTTTGTGAAAATTGATAACAGAATCTAATGCAACTTTAAGCTAAATGAAACACTAAATCGTTTGTTAGAAAAGGGGCAGTTTCAGTGTGATGCAGTTGCTGGACACTGTGTTTCTATGGTACCATAAGCTGTTTAGTCGCATGCTTAGGGATGCTGGGACTGACTGGGAGTCTACTCACTGGCTGGTGTCGGGTAGACAGGAGTGTGGCTGAGATAATCAGGTACAGGAGCCGCTCTGAGACACTGCTGGTCTCGAAGCAGCAGGCAGCAACGTGGCAGGCAGGGCTCACAGGTAGGTTAGCAATGCCTGTGTTCAGAAGGTCTCTGGTTCAAATCCTATGTCAGAAAAAAATAATCGTATCAGTGTGGGGTCATTGAGCAAGGCCGTTAAAGTCAAATTTCCCTAACCTGTGTTCTGATGCTTTCACGTGTATGTGTGCGTCTCATGGAAGGACAAGGTGGGGTATGTGAAAACAAAAGGAATCTCTGTGTACCTGTATCTGTACTTCACCGTCGTCGTCATCTTTAAAACGATGGCACGGGTAACTGATCAGCTCGCACCTCTGTCTGAGACACGTGTGGCAGCGATGGAGGTTTGACACCTCGTGGACCATTCTAAGAAGAGGCATTTGTCTACATACCAGATAAAAGCAGGAACTGGATCAGTAGTGATGATAGGCAATTTAGAGTTAGTGAAGCCAATGAAACACAGATTTTATTCTGCAGAGATGGTTGGAGGAAAGAGGCAGCAGGACACAGCAGTTGAACTGTGAAGGTCGGCTCCTTTTCCCTCACTTTGGCTACCATTACTATCCGTCATCATTAGGTTACACCAGATTCTGCCCCTCCATCTAGTCACAGGCTGATTCTCATCCCAGTCTCACTTCTGCTGTCTGGCTTGGGTCACGAGGACAACGCCTTTTCGGCATTCCCACTTGTGCCTTATGGGATGGTAAACCAGGTGCATTGGCCGTTAGGCCATTCCAATGGACCAAATCTGTCCTTCAGAATGTCTGTTAGAAGGGTAGACTCTTGGGTTCTGCGGCTGTATTGTGAAAGGATGGTCATTAGGTTTTTCTTGTTGTTCTTACTCTGTGCTTCTGTTTGTCCATCCACAATATCTCCCTTATTTCTCTCATAGTGTCCCTGAACTTTCAGTCTTTCAACCATTCACACCCCCCCCATGCACGCACGCACACATACAGACTGAACTCTTACAGACAATTTGAAGTAAAGGCCTTTGAGTAATGAGAGTGCAGATTTTGGTTAATTTCAAGTCTAAGTCCCTATTACTGAATCCATAGCTGCATATTTACAATTCTGAAAGTTTTGACAATAACCAAAGATCAAATGCAGAACTGGAAATATGTGGATGTTTAAAGGCTGCTTATCCACAGATTGATTCTGCTGATTGATGAATATCTCACAATAAAGCAGGCCACTGTATCAAACTAAATAAGTGACCGTCAAATGTACTTCACAACAAGTTGCCTCACTGGTTATCTGGTGTTCAAACACAGATACAGTTCAGGGTGCAGTAGTTTCACGGTGCAGTAGTTTCTGTTTAAAAGAGGCACTCGAGATTCTCCTTCCTCCGGGCTCCCCTGGCCAAGCCGTCAACCGAGCACGAGCATGAGTCGGAATGCAGGGATCACGTGTCGGAAAACTGTGGCACTGAGCACACGCCAAATCAGTGGGTTCTGTCATCACAACGGGTAGTGGAGAGGAGCGGACGGAGGAGCACAGTCACACCTCTGTGGTAAATTCTGAAAGAGCCTCTGATTTTGAGGGGTTAAATAAGCATTTCAGTTCCTTGTTCTGAAATATGGCCTTTTAAAGTTGTTTTCAAATGAATCTGGCTCTTTAATATTTGTAGATACTAAGTAATTCAACTTTGAGTTGAAACTATAATGAATTTAGGGTGAGATATGGAAGTAATATCTATTGGGGGTTAAGGGCCTTGCCCAAGGATGCAAACAGGCCCTTAAGCAAGGCCTTTGACCCCCCTCCCCCAAATTGCTCCAGGGGGCACCAGATAAATGTCCGACCCTGCATTCAGACCCCAACCTTTGATCTGAACTGTGTTTCTCTCAAAGGAGAGCGATATGGGAACAGAAGCATTAAAATTGTCTATTAATAATGTTACAAAATGTTACAACCTAATAACCAGATTATAAACCATTTATAAATCCTTTATATGGGTAGCATTATTGTAAAGAGGCACCGACCTATTAAATGGCAAACTCATCTGCATCTCCTGCCACTAGATGTCCTTCTTCCCTGAAATTGAGTCTAATCACATCATGATGTCACTGCCCCTCATTCCCATGGTGCTGAAGCATCAGCGTACTGCTCCCTCCTCATCCTTGTAGAGAGATTGTCCCCCTGTTTGCTGTAACGTTACCTGGATGGACACTTCAGAAGAGGGTGCTTAAATTAGGCTTAAGCAAAGCGCTTCTTTGTTTTAACTGAAGGATCATAGGATGTCCTCGTACTGGTCTGTCTTTTGTCTGAGTGGGGAGGTGGGGAGGACCTTTTGAATATGGATCTCTTTTTGCTTCAGCAGAGGCCAGAGAATAGAGACTTCATGGTGGGGTGAATCTAAGTCCTGGTGAAGCTTGCAGGATCATTACATTCTCCATTTCGTCTAGTGATTAAATACATGAAACACTGAGGTAGTTCCTTCTGATCTTAGATGAAGAAGTGATCCTAGACATGCTATGAACGGTCTACCCTGAAGCAGGAAGAGTCCAGAATTCAGTGTGTTGTGCCCACATAGTAGTGCAGTTGCATATTGTTGTGTTTAATCTACGCAGTAATTCCTGTTTTAGAGTGACTTCTGTGTTCAGGATGCTCATCAGTTCAAAGAGCATATACAGGTTGCATTATTGCCAGGATCATGATTCTTGTTTGATCTTTGCCCAGTTCTTGTGCTAGAATTGACCATGTAGCATTAATGCTGCATGAGGTTTATGATCCCTGGGGGGGAGGGCTTGGGAGGGGGATTGAGGGATTAGTCTGAGTTTTGGTGCTGGAAACGTCCTTGTGGCTGTGTGAGGTTTTTTTTTTTTTCTTTCTCGATCAGATTTGCCCTGAGCTGCCTTTATTTTACACATGGACTCTTATTGGTTATTTTCCAAGCACTGCCTGCATACCGTATGTATGGGAAGGGGAGTATGTAGGGCAAACCCAGACAGAGGGGGTACTGTAACATGTCTTTTTCATTCATCCTGTACAGGTAACCCTATGGCCCTAGGAAAGCCCTTCACGGAGGACTGCTCTGAGGCATCCAGCCAGGAGGAAGGTGCGTGCGGTGCTTACCCCGGACATGGGCCCCTCCGCTCACAGCCCCGCTTCATCATCTTCTGGGGCCGTCACCTGTTTCCAGAGGCGGTCTCCCAAACATCGGCCAGCTAAATTTGTCTGCGTGTGGCCAGCGTTGTGCCTAATGACAGGCTCTGCTATGATAATGGTAGCCCTACCACAGCTGAGGTCCTGCATCAGCAACAGCGATTATCCCTTGGCAGTCGTGTTTATACGGAGTAGGGGGGACTAGGAATGGTCAAGGGGAGGGGGTGGGGAAACATTTGCGGAACAGATTTTGCAAGAAAAGACTGTACTTTCACCATTTTTTTTACTCCCCAGATCAGTGTTTCCCTCACCCAGTCCTGCAGCACCCACAGACGGTCCATGTTTTTGCTCCCTACTGGGAGCAGGGAGGGAGCGAAAACATGGACTGTCTGCGGGTCCCTGTTGACCATATTGAGAAACACTGCCCTTGATGGTCCTGTTCACAGGTGCTTTCTCTTCAGATCTAGAGCAGTATGTTGTTGGTCACCGGAAGAAACCTGGTACCAAGAGTCCAAGCCTTAGGTAAGCAGCTTTCCCCCCTGGTGTCCCCTGTGGCATGGAGCCTTGGCTTTTGTGGGTTTAACAGCCAGCTCCTGTCTCCTCTCCAGCAGCCAGAGTAGCAAGAGCTGCCCAGCGGACGGACGGAGAGCCACGCCCTCAGAGCTCAACGGTGCCCCCGACTGGAGGCGGAAGAGCTGCCCACTAAAGCCGACCCTGGAGCAACGTGGCCCTGGGCCAGAGCAGGTGAGGGGGCCCAGGGGATCCCACCAGGAGAAGAGGGGTAAACAGTGGCTCTTTGAGCATTGGACTGTTCCATAGCTGCACTTGGCCTAGAATAGTCTGATGACAGATGGATCAATTTATCATTCGCAGAAAATATACTCTCAGGTTCACAGCACACGTTCTAGCCAGGGAACACACGGTTATGTGTACTGTGTCTAGATATCCGTCTCTGTCATTGACACTGTCTGATGAGTTGGACTGAACAGCACTCTCCCCTTACCTGCTGTTCATTTCCAGTGGTCCAACTGGACAACACCAGGCCCAATAGTACCATTGTGGGGGTTTGGGGGGTAAGATTGTGGTGAGCAGTGCAGTAGGTACGACAGCGATTTGTTTCCCACGGTTTTGTGTAACGCTCTGCCAGTCATGTTCAGCCCTGCCCTGTTTCCATGATGCAGATTTTAGGAATCTGAGGTGTTTCTGCGAAAGAGGCAGATGGCTGAGTACTCAGTGAAGGCACGACGCCCTTCTTGTCATGCTCTGTGTCACATCTCCTCTGGGTGTCTCTGTGTCCTCCTCCTTCCAACAGCACCCAGGTGATCAGAAGTGGAACTCCACCCCCAGCCCTAAGAACAAGCCCAGAGCAGCGGCCGCAGAGAGGTGACATCATCTCCTGGGTTTGGGGGCGGGGTGCTTTGGGAGGCTGTATCTGACACAGTCTGTCATTTTTGTATAGAGCCCTATTTACCAGTCTCATTTCTTCTGTTCCTGTACTCCTAGCCTCTTCGCATTAGCCACATCCAAGAGCACTGTAAAGGGGCGGAAAGTTTGGGCTAAGTGACGGGCCCTTAAAAATTTGGAACTTTATTGGATCAGTCTTGGTTGGAGGCCCAATGTAATATGCTTTCATAGGGCCCAGAATCTCTGGTGGCACCCTTGGCCACGCCTTAGCATTAGCGAGCTCCTGGACTATACCTGTTTGTGTAGAGCTGACCACTCCCCCCCCACCCCCCCCATTTTTCCATCCTAGAGAGAAGGGGAAGGTGGGAGAGGGCAGGCTAGCTTACGTTGGCAATGGGATCATGAGACCCGCTGCGGTGCACCCAGGTCGACAGCCCACCAGGAAAGGTAAGCGTGAGCTGGACGCAGCGGCAGCGTGGCCTGAAAGCTCCGCTCTAACACACCCCCAGCACGAGACATGTTTTCCCCTGCAGAGATTGCACGAAGGTCTTCAGTCAGAGTGGAGTGTTACTTCATATATAAACAAGCATATTTTTGAAGTATAAGTCATGATTTAGTCCTCATATCATTATACCTGAGTGTCTGTGGGGCAGAAACGGGCAAAGAACCCACTTGGGAAAAATCCATTTAAACTGGACCAGCAGCATAAAGCAGAATCGCCCCCCCCTGTTCCCACAGACCGTCGCCATGACGTGGGCTCGGGGCAGGATTCGTACGGGGAAACGTCCTCTGAGAGCTACAGCTCACCCTCCAGCCCACAGCACGACGGACGGGAGAGCCTGGAGAGCGAGGACGAGAAGGACAGGGGTGAGGAAGTGTGGCTTCGAGCCCGCGTCCATCTACCTGGGCCCCACGTGACCTTCAAGGAGCAGGGGGGGCCCTGCCATCTGCAGCACATGGCGCATTAGGGCTGCCCTGTAAAATACACTTTACAACAACCACCTGCGGTCTGTTGTTTAAATAAAGTCTTTCTCCACGTACAGTACCAGTCAAGCTACCTACACGAGTCGCATCACATGACCTGGTCACCTAACCTAAACCCATTAGAGATGGTTTTGGAGGAGTTTGACCAGCATGCTCAGCGTATATGTGGCACCTCCTTCAGGACAGCTGGAAAAGCATCCCAGGAGGCCACCTCATTAAACTGGTGTAGAGGAGAAAGTACCCAAATCACAGAGCACACCCCCGCCAATTTTTCTTTGATACTTTTTGGGTTAGTGGGATCACTCTGCTGACCGTGGGATCTGAACCTCCAACCTTCTGAATCCCAAACCACAGAGTTGCAATAGTTCAAATAAACCTTTCCATGG